GCGCGATCTCGGCTCACCGCAACCTCCGCCTCCTGGGTTCAGGCAATTCTCCTGCCTCAGCCTCCTGAGTAGCTGGGATTACAGGCACGCGCCACCATGCCCAGCTGATTTTTTGTATTTTTAGTAGAGACGGGGTTTCACCCTGTTGACCAGGATGGTCTCGATCTCTTGACCTGGTGATCCACCCGCCTCGGCCTCCCAAAGTGCTGGGATTACAGGCGTGAGCCACCGAACCCGGCCAACATGGAGACTTTTTGAGACAGAATTTTGCTCATTGCCCAGGCTGGAGGGCAGTGGCACGATCTCGCATTTCAGCTCTGAGTCCCGGGTTCAAGTGACTGTCCTGCCTCAGCCTCCTGAGTAGCTACAACTACTGGCATCTGCCACCACACAAGGCCAATGCTTTGTATTTTTTAAGTAGAGGTGGGGTTTTGCCATGATGGCCAGGCTGGTCTCGAACCCCTGACCTTATGATCCGCCCACCTCAGCCTTCCAAAGTGCTGGGATTAAAGGCGTGAGCCACAGTGCCCAGCCAAGATTTTTTTTTTTATATTTTAACAGCTATCCTGGGATATAAATTATACACTAATCCTAGCTACGTGGGAGGCTGAGGCCAGAGGCCTGCTTTAGTCCAGGAGGTCGAGGCTGCAGTGAACTGTGAGTGCGCCCCTGCACCTCAGCCAGGATGACACGGAGACTGTCTCAAAAAATAAAAATTGTCTTACTATATAAAAAATATAAATGGCTGGGCGCGGTGGCTCAAGCCTGTCATCCCAGCACTGTGGGAGGCCGAGGCGGGCGGATACGAGGTCAAGAGATCGAGACCATCCTGGTCAACACGGTGAAACCCCGTCTCTACTAAAAATACAAAAAATGAGCTGGGCATGGTGGTGCGTGCCTGTAATCCCAGCTACCCAGGAGGCTGAGGCAGGAGAATTGCCTGAACCCAGGAGGCGGAGGTTGCGGTGAGCCGAGATCGCGCCATTACACTCCAGCCTGGGCAACAAGAGCGAAACTCCGTCTCAAAAAAAAAAAAAAAAGTATAAATGTGTCTCAAAGTAGAATATATGAATGCTTAACCTAAAATAAAAGACATGCAATATTTAGTATATACAGCTATTAAAGGATTTAGCCAGGGGCAGAGGCTCATGCCTATAATCCCAGTTGGGAGATCGAGGTGAGATTGAGACCAGCCCGGCCAACACAGCAAAACCACCCTCTCTACTAAAAATCCAAAAATCAGCCGGGAATGGTGGTGGGTGCCTGTAATCCCAGCTGCTCGGGAGGTTGAGGCAGGAGAATCGCTTGAACTCAGGAGGTGGAGGCTGCAATCAGCCAAGATTACACCACTGCACTCCAGCCTGGGCAACAGAGCGAGACTGTCTTTAAAAAAAAAAAAAAAAGGATTCAAAGGCTGGGAGTGGTGGCTCATGCCTGTAATCCCACCATTTTGGGAGGCCGAGGCAGGAGGATCGCTTGGGCCCAAAAGCTTGAGACCCACCTGGGCAACACAGTGAGACCCCATCACTACAAAAAAATGAGCCAGGCAGGGTGGTGTGCACCTCTGATCCCTTGGGAGCCCCGGAGAAGCGATGAGCCTGCCCCCACCCCAGTCAGCACTGGACAGGGACCCTGCGGCCTTGTGGGACAGGCTTCAAACCCAGGCAGGGGTGCCGTGCCCCAGGTGCTCAGCTGCCTCAGTTCTCATGAAGCAATGTGAAGGGAGGTGTGCCGTGGCCAGGGTCTGGGCGTTGGGGGCAGATCAGGGTCTAAGACTGAGGAAGCTGGGACCACCCACCCACCAGGGCCAGTGCTTCCCAGGCACCACCTTTGGCCTGTGGCCCCCCTGCTGGTACTGGGCACAAGTGCAGGCCCAGGAGGCAAGCAGGGGCGACATGAAAACTGGCCCGGGGGACAGCAGCAGCAGGGCTGGACCTGCAGTGCCGGGCCCTTGCTCCACACCACACGCATGGTCTCTGCCCTTCTGGCTACACAAGAGCCTTCCCCACCCCCACCAGGAGGGCCAGGTGTGAGCACAGAAGGCTTCTCCCATGGGAGCCCTCGGGAGTGACACTCAGCTGTGCACTTCCCAGGTGACTGAGGTCATTCTCATGTGGGGGCGGTGTCAGACTGGAAATAGCCTCCCAAGAGCAGCTGTGTGCTGCTGCAGGGGCGAGGGCCGCGTCAGCTTCTCTCCCCCCTTCGCCTTCAGGGATATCGTCTCTCTGGGGACACAGGGTTTTCCTCCTGGAGACATGGGGTCTCTCACCCAGGCCCACAGAGCCTGCTGGAGGGTGCCCAGGAAGGTGCCACAGTGAGAGGGAAGTGTGAGGGGACAGGGGCGACCCCCGCCCGGCACAGCGAAGCGACAGGACTGGCTGCGCAGGGCACTCACCCGTGCCCGGCCCTCCGGTGCCTGCTGATCTCCTTCTCGCCCTCGATGATCCACTGCATTATCTTCTGGTTCTTCTCCGCGTCCTCCGATGCGCCTTGTACCTCAGTGCTGGCGTTCTTCCCCGACTCCGCCTTCTTGGCGTTTCTTTTGCATGCCACGCCCACCTTCCCACTGCAAGGGCAACAGCGACACTGGGGAGTCACCACGGCAGAGGCTGTGCCCCTTGCCCGTCTGCAAGGCTCCTACCCAGTCTCTTGTGAGGCCCCCAGGGTGCGGCAGCCGCCTCCTAGCAGTCCTGGCGCTGCCTGGGCTTTGCTTCCTCTTTAAACACACAGGCAGTCACTGCTCGCCCCCCGCAGACTGAGGGTCACAGCAGGAGCCGGGGTCCAGCTATGGCCCTTGACCATTTCCAGCGGGAGGTGGCGTGGACTCCCCTGACACAGAGCCCAGCCTGCTCCCTCCACCGGAGGGGCTCCTGTCTGCTGCCGGCGGCCCTGGGTTTCCCGAGTTTTATAGGGAGGTTCCAGCCTTCTGCAGGGACACAGCCTCACCCCCAGCACCCTCCTTGCTGACAGGGGGGCAGCTCACCTGTGGCCCAGGCCATCGCTGGCGTTGGGGGCAGCGCCCACACTCTCTGAGTGGCCTCGGGGCTTTGCCCCATGGATGTGCGGCTCCGGGCCCCACGCGAAGCTGCTCTGGGCCCTGCGGGCAGCCTCAGCCTCCACCTGCTCCTTGGGCCGGGCTGTGCTGTGGTGGACGTGGTGGTGGACGTGTCGGTGGTGGTGCAAGCCGGCCACATCCAGCTTCGCCCCTGACTTGGGCGCGTGCTTCCCGTGCCCTGAGGCTGCACCTCCCAGCGCCACTGGCATCTTGGCTACGTGCCCACTGTCCGGGGAGCGGTGGCCAGGCCCCGGTGATTGGCGGCCAGGTGTCCTCAGCACACGCTGCACGTGCTCATCCAGGATGCTCTCGGGGTTCTCCTCGTGTGCGTCCCGGAGCCCGGCACAGCCCACGTCCACACAGCGGGGTGGAAAGTGGTACCAGGTGGCGGTCAGAGGCAGCTTGTGACATGGCCCTGAGGGACCCGAAGATGGGTCGCCGTCTTCACCTTCCTCCTCCTGTGTGGGGACAAGCAGCACCATCACTTCTCAGCACCAGCCGCACACTTGGGGAAAACAAAAAGCATCAGGCCTGGCCCAGCAGGCCCAGCAGACGCCAGCCAAGCCCAGGGTGGCTGCGGGCCCTCCCCACCGCTCCTGTCCCTGAGGACAGAGAGGCAGGGCATGGCACAGATGGAAGGAGCGGCACCATGGGGCCTCAAGGAATGCAGTGTGTGTGCTGGCTGTGGGCGGAGCTCTGCACAGATTTAGTTTAGAATTTTTTTTGAGACAAGTTCTTGCTCTGTTGCCCAGCCTGGCATACAGTGGTGTGCTCTCAGCTCACTGCAGCCTCCAATTCCTGGGCTCAAAAGATCCTCCCACCTCAGCCTCCACAACAGTGGAGACCACAAGCATATGCCACCACACCTGGCTAATTTTTCTGTATTTCTGGCACAGATGGGGTTCTCACCATCTTGGCCAGGCTGGTCTTGAATGCCTGAGCTCAAGAAATCTGCCTGTCTTGGCCTGTTTTTTTTTTTTAAATAAAGATTTTTGTTTTCCTTCAATTGACTTTTCCTATTCCTTAACTTTATTGCTATCAATGTATTTCCGAGACACAGTCTTGCTTTGTCACCCAGGCTGGAGTGCAGTGGCACAATCTCAGCTCACTGCAACCTCCACCTCCCGGGTTCAAGCAATTGTCCTGCCTCAGCCTCCCCAGTAGCTGGGACTACAAGTGCACACCACCACACCTAGCTAGTTTTTATATTTTTAGTAGAGATGGGGCTTCACTGTGTTAGCCAGGCTGGTCTTAAACTCCTGACCCCGTGATTCGCCAGCTTCGGCCTCTCATTCTATTTTAAGGAGAATGTCACCCTGACATAAAAGAGCTCTTGGGTTTTGTACATGTTGTGATGCTTCCTAATGGGTTTCCACATTAAGCCAGTGGAGTTTCACTTGATTCTCCAAGTTAACAGGTGGCAAAGGTTATCTGCCAGTGAAAACATCTGATCGCTTTAATTCCAAGTTGCATTTCATATTTATTTTCTCATCTTATTGGATTCACAAACTAAAACAGTGCTCAATCTGGTATTAATAGAAAAGGAGGGAACTAAGCTACCCTGTATTTATTTATTTGTTTGTTTGACAGAATTTTTTTCTTTTTTTTTTTTTTTTGGATGGAGTTTCGCTCTTGTTACCCAGGCTGGAGTGCAATGGCGCGATCTCGGCTCACTGCAACCTCCGCCTCCTGGGTTCAGGCAATTCTCCTGCCTCAGCCTCCTGAGTAGCTGGGATTACAGGCACGCGCCACCATGCCCAGCTAGATTTTTTGTATTTTTAGTAGAGACGGGGTTTCACCATGTTGACCAGGATGGTCTCGATCTCTTGACCTCGTGATCTACCCGCCTCGGCCTCCCAAAGTGCTGGGATTACAGGCTTGAGCCACCGCGCCCGGCTTTTTTTTTTTTAAGATGGGGTTTCACCACGATGGCCAGGCTGGTCTTGAACCCCTGACCTCAGGTAATCCACACACCTCAGCCTCCCGAAGTGCTAGGATTACAGGCGTGAGCCACCATGCCCGGCTTGACAGAATTTCGCTCTCGTGGCCCAGCTGCAGTGCAATGGCACAATGCTGGCTCACTGCAACCCTCCACTCCCGGGTACAAGCAATTCTTCTGCCTCAGCCTCCTAAGTAGCTGGGATTACTGGAACCCCCTACCATGCCCAGCTTTTTTTTGTATTTTTGGCAGACAGAGGGTTTTACCATATTGGCCAGGCTGGTCTCAAACTCCTGACCTCAGGTGATCCAGCTGCCTCGTGAGCCACCGAGCCGGGCCGTGCAGTGGACCGATCGCAGCTCAATGCGGCCTCAACCTCTGGGGCCCAGGCGATGGCCCCGTTTCAGCCTCCCAAGTAGCCGGGACCATACGTGCATGCCACCAGGCCCCATTAATTTTCTGTTTGTTTTGTAGAGATGCGGATCTCGCTATGTTGTCCAGCCTGCTCTTAAACTCTGGGTCTCAAGTGATCCTCCTGTCTTGACCTCTCAAAGTGCTGGGATTACAGATGTGGGCCGCTGTGCCCAGCCTACCTCGTATTTTAATATAAACAAACCTCTGAACATTTAGCACCAAACTCTCACACCTGCAAAAGTATCCAAACACAACTGGAACAGGCGTGCCCCGAGCTAGTGTGGGCTTGGTTGTGGGCGCCTGTGCTGGGCCTGATGGTGAAGTCAGGCACTCAAGAGGACAGATGAATGCTGGGGCAGAGCCGGGCAACAGGAGGGTGGTGGGCATCCCCTGGTGGATGCAGCTACGCTGCCTCCCTGTCCTTGGCTTTGCAGGACTGCAGGGCACTCCGAGGGACTTCCCTCGGTTACGGAAGGAAGAGCTCTGAGTTTTGATGCCACTCACCCACCTCGGCAGAGCCCTGCATCTGTGGGGACTCTTATCACGCGGCTGTGAAGCTTTACATTCTTCTTTATGCTTTTATTTCCCAAATTTTACAATGAAAATAGGCTATTGTAAAAATCTGCAGTTAACTCCTTTTCGGGAAGGACCACTACTTATAGCAGGGTGTCTAAGAATCACACTGAAGCGACGTGCCAGCTACCAGCGTGGGCAGCTGTCCCTGGGCTTCAGGGCTCTGCCCACAGGTTATCCCCTGAGCTGGCGTGGCAGGAATACAGGGGTTTTCATTCTAGCCTTTTTTTTTTTTTTTTTTTTTTTTTGCAACCTGTGCCTCCCAGGTTCAAGTGATTCTCCTGCCTCAGAGCCTCCCAAATAGCTGGGACCACAGGCAACCACCACCACACCCCGGCTCATTATTTTTTTTTTTAAGATGGAGTCTCGCACTGTCACCCAGGCTGCAGTGCAGTGGCGCTATCTTGGCTCACTGCAGTCTCCACCTCCTGGATTCAAGCAATTCTCCTGCCTCAGCCTCCTGAGTAGCTGGGACTACAGGTGTGTACCGCCATGCTAAGCTAATTTTTTTGTATTTTTAGTAGAGATGCGGTTTCACCATGTTGGCCAGGATGGTCTTGATCTGACCTTGTGATCCGCCTACCTCAGCCTCCCAAAGTGCTGGGATTACAGGTGTGAGCCACCTCGCCCGGCCTCATTTTTATATTTTTAGTAGAGATGGGTTTTTGCCATGTTGGCCAGGCTGGTCTTGGACTCTTCACTTCAGGTCATCCACCCGCCTCAGCCTCTTAAAGTGCTGGATTACAGGCGTGAGACACCACATCTGGCCCATTCTAGTATTTTCTGTTCAGTCAAAGGACGCTGCTCATCTCTTGGCAGCAGGTGCCCCCTCCCTCCCGGGCCCTAGCGGTGCTGCGTCCACACACCTGTGGGCACCACCGTGCTCCCTGTTGCTGGGACACAGCCAGGACTCCATGGGGTGGGGAAGCCTTGGGAGTCAGAGGTGAGAGCCACACACTCAGCACCTGTGGCTACACCTGCCTTTAACACGTCTCGCTTAAGGCTGGGTGCGGTGACTCACACCTGAAATCCCAACACTTTGGGAGGCTGAGGTAGGAGGATTGCTTGAGGCCAGGAGTTCAAGACCAAGATAAGCAAGATAGCAAGATTCTGTCTCTACAAAAACAATTATTAAAAAAAAAAGTTTCACTCAAAATGTGAACCTGCCCTATCAGAAGCACATACTGTGACTAGATCGAGGCACAAAGATCAACAGAAAATTACAACGGCCAACACGACAGCGAAGCAGCAAAGGCCTCCTTTCCTATGTTTCTTCTGTGAGCACGTTTAAAGGCTGCCAACCTTTGCCCACCACACAAATGACAGTGCTGACGTCACAGCCCTTGTGGCCTGCTGACATGTCTGTATCGGTTCCCAATGTTTGGTTTTCAGACGAGCTGTTAGAGGCTAAAACTGTGCTCCACCGCTTCCTTCAACAACCCATTGACACTCCCAGGCGGGCCCTGAACGAAAGCCGGCCTCATATGCACACAGCGGCCTCCCTGGGGCCACGGAGTGAAGCAAGGGAGCCAGTGGCTCTGCAAGGCAAGGCCTCACTCTCGCCGCTGCCGGAACCACAGGGCACTGATGCCACTCCTGCCAGCTCTGCAGCACTGGCCAGGTCCCTGATCTTGGAGAACAAATTCCGAGTCTTTTCCTTGGGGACTGTGGAGAGGGTGAACTCGGCACCTGCAGAACAAGCTGGCACCGCCCACACCTGTGCCCTGCCCAAGTCAGGGTCATCCTCAGATCCAGAGCCAGGGAAGATGACAGGATGCAACTCCACATGGTGGCAAAACAATTTACTGAGGATAAAAATGTGTATGTGTGTGAAACATTTTCATACAAACCCCTTCCTGGAGAGCTTGACCATCTGCATGACCACAGCTGGCCCGCACCATGAACCCAGCTTCTCAGCGAGCTGTGAGGTCTGCCTGCGAACTCAATGCAGCGCCCAGAGCATCGCTTCCAGGCTGGGCACTGCCAACCCCACCTGTGTCCACCCTCATGGTGGCATCTCCAGGCTTCAGGGCACAGCTCACCCGGGTTGTGAGTGAAACAGTGGGTATACCAAGGGTTCTCCTGTGGTCTGAGGAGAGCTGAGGGTCTGCATTTTACATCAGGGATCAGGTGGAGAAACAATTCCTTGAAAAAAACTACATTTTGGACTTAGGCATGGAAATGCTTACAAACGTACACATTTTGTAAATACTTACATTCACAAAATATTCAAAGGAGGATGGAGGACACTCCCACTCAATGGTGCCACTGACCCCCCCAGAGGTTAATCCAGCTAAGAGAAAAGCAAACGCCCCCTTTTTTTTTTTGACGCAGGTTGCTCTGTCACCCAGGCTGGAGTGCAGTGGCACAACCTCGACCTCCCGGGCTCAAGTGATCCCCCTACCTCAGCTTCCTGAGTACTTGGGGCCACAGGTGTGTACCATCACACCCGGCTAATTTTGAAATTTTTTCTAGAGACAGGATTTTGCCATGTTGCCCAGGCTAGTCTCAAGCTCCTGGGCTCAAGTGATCTGCTCACCTCCGCCTCCCAGTGTTGGGATCACAGGTGTGCACCACCCGCACAGCCAGCAAAGGCAGCTCTGCAAGTGAGACAGACAGGTGCTAAGGGGTCTCCAGGGAAGCTCCAGCCGGCCTGCGCACTGGGATGGAGCCACAGAAGTCTGCACGGTCTGCAGCAGGGAGGAGCCTGGCCCCTCTTCCTGGGTGGAACCTGGCATTCAATCTGCGAGGCAGGAATCGCGCTAAACTCTGGCTCTGTGGAGTTTTTTTTGTTTTGTTTTGTTTTGTTTTTTTGAGATGGAGTTTCACTCTTGTCGCCCAAGATCTTGGCACACTGCAGCATCTACCTCTTGGGTTCAAGCGGTTCTCCAGCCTCAGCCTCCTGAATACCTGGGATTACAGGCACCCACCACCACGCTCAGCTAATTTTTGTACTTTTAGTAGCGATGGGGTTTTGCCATGTTAGCCAGGCTGGTCTCGAACTCCTGACCTCAGGTGATTCACCCACCTCAGCTTCCCAAAGTGCTGGGGTTAGAGGCGTGAGCCACCACACCCGGCCCTGCTTCCCTTTTGACCTTTTCACCTAATAAACCCTGTCCTTTCACCTTTCAAATTGTCTGCGAGCCTAATTTTTTGTAGCTGTGTGAAAAGGACCCGTCTTTAGCTGAACTAAGGAAAGAGTCCCACAACACAAGTGCCTAGAGGGCCGTGCAGCACGGCCTCAAGGAACCAAGCGTGCCCAGGAGGCAGTGGAATGTCTTAGGCATCGCAGCCCTGTGTGCACGCAGAAAGGAACCCTGCATGCCACTAGCCCTTCCTGCTCAGCACGTGCTCATCCCACTCACCGCCCGCATGGGATGAAGAAGCTGAACTGATCACCTGCTCCAGCCTCAGGCTGTGGCCCTGCCACCCAGGAAGTTCGTGACCACGTACAGCAGGCAGCTGTGTCACTCCTGGCCCCTTCAATGAGGGTGCCCAAGGTGTGTCTCTGGGCCTCTGAGCATGGGGATGGGGCCGCTGGGACATCCCACCCTGATCTAAGGCTCAGCTGCAGAGAAGGGGGCAGGGGACACAGCATGGAGGCCTCAAGGGTCAGCAGGCCTCGGCCAGCCCTGGACATGCCCACGAGAAATCAGGGCCAAAGCTGTCCTGAACATCAGGACATCCAAGCTGTCGGAAACAGCGCGACGCTGACGCGGCCCACTCACCATGCGCACACGCTTCAGCCGCTCCTCCAGCTTCTCCTCGGCCTCCCGCGTGCGCTGCACGGCCTCCAGGCGGTGGATGAGCTCCTCGGCGAACTTCTGCGGCTCCACGCGGACCTCCTTCGGCACCCGGTACGTGCGCTGTGGGGGAGACGGCCGTGAGGTACGGGGGTCGAAAGATCACGGGCAGAAAGCGTCTTTGTGAAGGGAAGGCGTGTGCAGTGTTGATGCTGTTTTTATTGGTTTATTTCTTTTGAGATAAAGTCTCGTTCTGTCGTCCAGGTTGGAGTGCAGTGGCATGATCCTGGCTCACTACAACCTCTGCCTCCTGGGTTCAAGCGATTCTCCTGCCTCAGCCTCCTGAGTAGCTGGGACTCCCGGTGCCTACCACCACGCCCAGCTAATTTGTGTATTTTTAGTAGGGATGGGGTTTCGTCACGTTGGCCAGGCTGGACTCAAATTCCTGAGCTCAGGTGATCCGCCTGTACTAGGATTACAGACGTGAGCCATCGCGCCTGGCGTTTGTTGTATTTTAAAGTAAGGGTTTACTTTTTCCTCCTTTCAGCTGAGAATCAACTTCCTCACAACCCGCCTTTTCCTGTCTGGCCAGTCTGTCCTTCATTCCCCACGGGCCCAGGAGACAGGGCTGCTTCAGGACACATGGCCAGCGCTCCCCACCTCCTCAGAGAAACACTCGATACGACCAGGGGCTGTCAGCCTGGTTCTGGGTGCAGAAGACCCCACAGCAGGGAGGGGACACACAGGGCTTGGAGGACAGCGGAGGCCTGGGAAAGCTAGGCTTTCCTTTTAAAAAAAATATCAAGGCCAGGTGGTGGCTCACGCCTACAGTCACAGCACTTTGGGAAGTAGAGGCGGGCAAATCATTTGAGCCCAGAAATTAGACACCAGCCTGGCCAACAAAGTGAGATCTCATCTCTACAAAAAAAAGAAAGAAAAAATTTTTTTTTTTTTTTTTTTTTTTGAGACAGAGTCTTGCTCTGTTTCCAGGCGCCAGGCTGGAGGAGTGCAGTGGCACGATCTCGGCTCACTGCAACCTCCACCTCCCGGGTTCAAGTCATGCTCCTGCCTCAGCCTCCCAAGTAGCTGGGATTACAGGCATGTGCCACCATGCCCAGCTAATTTTTGCATTTTTTACTAAAGATGGGGTTTCACCATGTTGGCCAGGATGGTCGCGATCTCCTGACTTTGTGATACGCCCACCTCGGCCTCCCAAAGTGCTGGGATTACCAGTGTGAGCCTCCATGCCAGGCCAAAAACATTGTTTTTAATCAGCCAGGTGTGGTGGCCTCTGTGGTCCTGACTACTTGGGAGGTGGAGGTGGGAGGATCACTTAGGCCCTGGGAGAGCAACACTGCGGTGCGCAGACTGTGCCAGGCACTGCAGCCTGAGTGACAGAGTGGGACCCTGTCTCAAAACAGTAAGAATAAACCACATAGCTTTCTTAAAAAATAGAGATGGGGTCTTGCCAGGTTATCCACCTGGCCTCGAATTCCTCCCACCTCGGCCTCCCAAAGCACTGGGATTACAGGCGTGAGCCACCACGGCTGCTTCTGTGTAATTGTGAGGGGACTTCATTTTAAATTTCAAACTTCAAAACAGTTGTAAACACAGAACAAGGAATTCCTGACCACCTTCACCCAGATTCCCCACGGGCTCACAATCTGCGCTGAGTGCTTTTTCATCCCCTCACCGGCAGGCACATGGGTACACACACCCACACACATGCAGGCACCTCACTTCCCCGAATCATTCAGAGTGTATCTGACAAAAATAAGGTCATGCTCAAACCTCACCACAGTACACATACGGATAGTTAAGAACGCTGACCCTGATGTAATAACATCACGCTCAAACCTCACCACAGTACACATACGGATAGTTAAGAACGCTGACCCTGATGTAATAACATCACGGGGCAGATCTTATTACAGTCTCGCCAGCTGCTCCAGTGACATCCTTCATAGCCAAACACGTTTTTAAAATCCAGACTGCCAGTGTCTCAGCTAGGGAGGGTTGGAGCCAGGGACAGCTCCCCCGTGACAAGTGAGCAGGGGGGCAGACGGGACGCGGCACCCTCCATGCGTGTGGCCTTCCTGCCCTCCCGCTGTGGGCTCTGGTGAGGTCCTGGCTCTGTGCACCCCAGTTTCTCATTTACAAAACGAGAGTAGAAACAGCACCAAAACCTCGGAAGGATAGGGCGAGACTGGCCACAGAAACCACACGAAGGCCTCCTCCAGGCTCAGACACTCCTGGTGGATGCGGCTCACAGCCACAGGCTTTGCCTCAAGGAACGTCAAGTATGAAGGGGCCAAGTGCACGCCCAGGGTGCTGGGTGATGCCTCAGAGCTGGGAGAAGTCACTGCTGGGTCTGGGCTATGCCCAACACCAGAAGGGGTCTGTCCTGGAGCCAAGGCGGAGCATCAAGTACTTCTAGAAAATGCTGTGGAAGGCCGGCGCTGGCATCAGCAGGGACGTGGGCCATTGTGTTTGGGTGTGTGGACAGTGGGGCATCCACACAGATATCTGCCGAGGACCTAACAAGCCGCCCTTTCCTGCTGCACCCGGGACCTGGAAGCTGGGTGGGTGGGGGGCCATGCTGGCTTTCCCATGCCCAGTGCTGGGCAGGGCGCAGACACGGGAGTGGCAGACACAGGACTGGGAGCTGCCAGCACCGCAGGGACCCCGCCTGGCACTGCCATCTGCAGACAGCCAGAGGCCCGGACTGGAGCGCTCCCGGTCTGACCCGTCAGCACCACGGAGACCAGGAGCAGAGCGGAAAGCCATCATCAGACCCAGAGAGCCGCACGGCTGAGGGGTTACGAGGAGCGGTCAGGGCGCTGCGTGAGTTCCAGAAAAAGACTCCAGGTGGCCCTACAGGCTGCACCACCACGGCTCTGAGAACAGCAAAACTGTCAGTCATCGGATTTACAGAGAAGGGAAGCCTTTCCAGCTTTGGAGCAACAGAAAAAAGTATCATAAAGGAAAAGGCCAAGTAAATGAAAATGTGAAACTTCAAAGTGACCACAAAAGCCAAAAATCAAGAGACCCCTCTCCCCATGGTCGGGATTCCAGGACCAGGTGCTGTAAATCACAGTCTCCAACCTTACAGCAACAGGGGCCAGCTTCGTGGAAGACACATTTTCCACAGACAGCAGGGGAACGGGGGGTTTCGGGATGAACCCGCCCCACCTCTGACAGTCTCACGTGAGGCGTGCAGCCTGGACCTCCACGGGCACAGCCACGACAGGTTCTGCTCCTATAAGAATCTAAGCTGCTCACCTCCTGCTATGCGGCCTAGGGGTTGGGGACGCCTGCTGCAGAGCCATGGACCCACCAGAGAAATGGCATAGCTTCCGAAAAACCAAGGCTCTCAGTGGAGCAGAAGCGTGTGGTGCGGTCACGGCGTCCTGCTAGCCCATCCGGCTTCCTGGATCTCCCTGCCTCTGCTCACCACCATCCTCGGGTCTGATTTCCCAATAGCAACAGCGAGCAGGCCCTGGGCAGCTGTGCCTGTGATGTAGGTTTCTCACTTGGGCCTCTGGCTGAGGGACTGGCTACCAAAGGTTCCAACCACAGCCCTGCCTGACAGGCCACATGGACTTCATCCGGGTTCCATGAGGTCATCTGCTGCAGGCCGCAGCTCCCGCCCCATCACACAAGGGCCCTCTGGGGCATGGCATGCGGCTGGGCCGCCGCTCCCGCCTGTGCCTGGCGCCTGTTGGCTTCATCTTCTCCTTCTCGGTGATTCGACTGCGACCCTCCAGACCTGAGGACTCTGTGCTTCCCTTGGTTCCAGAACGTTCTCACGATGACACCACGCACTCGCCTTCAGCCTCCTCTTTTCTCGGTGTTGCGTCCTGAGAGGTCTTTCCAGGTCACAGTCCAGGCACCAACAGACTATACTCCTCAGCTTTTGTCCTTCCTGACGCTTCTGAGGGGAAGGTGCCTGCCTGATGCCCCCTCATAAAGAGTCCGTGGTGTGCACTTTCTACGTGTGAAGACTCGGACCAGCACCCCAAGATCGGGGCACCCCTGTGAACAGAAACCTCCCGAAGGCCTCAGCCCACTCAGGCCCTGTCATCGTGGCACACAGAGCTGGCCGGGGTCCGTGGTCACTTAGCGGTCCTGTCTCTCGGGCCTCATTCATCTGGGCATCTCTGCAGGTTCTCCTTGACGTTCAGGACCTGTGACTTGAAAATCAGGGAGCATTGACTGTGCAGGAGCCATCAACTTGCGCTGTGACCTCAGGACAGCCTTGGGCCGCAAATGGCAGGCAGGGCCCCAGACCTTCTGCAGCACACACACGCTCACGCACACACATGGCTACAACGTCATCCACTTTTTGGTAAGGAGACATCATCAGCGCCTAGTTTTAGCCAAACCTGTGTTGAGGCCTGACTGGGAAGTGACAACCCTTGGTCACCTTCTACTCAGAAGTAAGAACAAGCCTACGTCCTTTCTTTTCAACCATGAATCACCACTTTCCTGACTTGGAAACTGATGTCTGCGGAAAAGCTAAAGGGCTAAGAAATCCTGACCAAGCGCGTCAACGCTCCCAAAACGCCTGCTTCCCTGCACACGCTGACGGCCACGTGGCTCGCCCTCACACACGGCAGCTAACAGCGGGTTAAAAACACTTTTCTCATCTGGGCACAGCGGCTCGCGCCTGTAGTCTCAGCACTTTGTGAGGCCAAGGCAGGCGGATCCCCTGAGGTCAGGAGTTCAAGGCCAGCCTGGCCAACATGGTGAAACCCCATCTCTACTAAAAATACAAAAATTAGCTGGGCATGTTGATGTATGCCTGTAATCCCAGTGACTCGGGAGGCTGAGGCAGGAGAATTGCTTGAAACGGGGAGGCGGAGTGTGCAGTGAGGCGAGATCGTACCACTGCACTCCAGCCTGGGTAACAAGAGCAAACTCTGTCTCAAAAAACAAACAAAAAAAACCACTTTTCTCATCTTCCCATACAAGTCCTTCCTGTTCAAAGTCAACCCATCAAAATAAGGAAAGATCACACAGAAGTGCTCTGCAGTCGGAGACAGGCTGTGCTGTAGTCCAGCCTGCGCTCGGCTCCGTGACCTGCCACCCAGCCAAGGCAAAGGCACCATGCCTCTATCCAACAGCAAAAGCCGAGCCAGCTTTCAAGTCAACACGTTCACCTGGAGATGACCACTGTTCAGCCACAAAGACACCAAGTTTTCCCCAGGGGCCATGCAGGGGCCAGGCCTGGGCTCTGGGGTCATGGGGGAGGCTCACAGCTGCCTCCTTTGAGGGGAGGCATCCAACATCACAAGGCAAGACACTTCCTGCCCCCAGGGAGGGTGTGCCTCGGGGCATGGGGGCTCTTCTGAATAGACAGCTCCCTCTGGGCCCTAAATGCTGCCTGCAACTCTGTCCCCCGACGCCCTCAGGGACTGGCCACTTGCAGATGTTGCTGGGATCGCATGCTGATGTCTGCAGGTAAGCCCAGGCAAGTGCCTTTCCCGAGCACCAGTTCACCACGGCCCGCGCTGCGCAGGGAGGGCCATAGGCTGAGGGCCGCAGAGCCGGTACTTACGGGAATGTGAGGTAGGGGCACGCGCCCGTTGACCTGCACGCTCTCCTGCATCTCCCTGCGGTGCTGCTTACGGATCCTGTATGGGGGGATCCCATCCCTGTCCAGGAGAAAGAAGCAGCCGTTAACTGAGAGAGGAGCAGGAGGGCCAGCACCACGCCAGTACGGCTCCCGGCCCGACCGCCAGTCAGCAGACGACGGTGATGACATCCGTGGGCCACCACTGACTACATATGCACAGCCACATGTGCACACACGGGTGATGCAGGCACCCATGTGTGCAGGGAACTCGTGTGCAAGCGTCACACACGAAGTTCACGTGTGATGGCAAAGCCCCAGTGCCCACCATGCTGCCCTCCCGGCTGGTGTCTACTGAGCATCTCCACAAAGCCTCCTCACGCCTGCCTGTTCTTTAGGGCCTGACAGCTACGAGTGGCTTTTTCCATTTTTAAAGGGTGGGGAAGGAACTTGTGACAACGACTGCACGTGGCTGCAGAGCCTCACATATTCAGTGCCAGCCCTGCACGGAACACGTCTGCTGGCCCCTGCTTTTGGCCTGGACCAGGGTGCGGTGTGCCTGCCTTGAAGTGCACTGCTTAACGGACCAAAAACATTTCAGGGTTGCAGAGTGGGCAGCCAGGACAACCAGTACCCACAGAAAGTAGGAGATGCCAGGGCTACACACTCTGCTTCTCTCCAGGTGAGCTGGCAGGGCAGTGTGCTCTCCGAGGGAGGCGCAAGGTAGTTCCTTCCCAACAGGTTTTCTTTATGAATCCTTTAAAAGATCGTAAAAAACACCAACGTCAAATTATACCTCGTCTTTGAATGATTACCCAGGGTTAAGATGGCTCAGGCACTTCATTAGTGCCCTCTCCCTCTCCCTATTAGAGGAGCTGCCTCGGGAAGCACAGCAGCTCCAGGCATCAGCGCCGTACCAAGGGGCCTGCCAGAGCTGCCAGGACGTGAGAGGACGTGAGAGAGCGCCTGACCCAGGGCTGCCTGGCGGACGCAGCCACTCCTGAGGCGTCCTCGCTGTCACAGACCACTGAGTGCTGTGAGCAGTGGTGAGCCAAGTCCGGGTCTGGCTCAGCGCACTCGGCACCCGGAATCAGTGGCGTGAAACCCACCTAACGCCTGCCTCGGGTTTGTTCAGTGTCCTGAAGCCAACAGCGTGCTGGTTTCTTGGACATGATACTTGGATTTGGTGACTTCCACAGGCCTCTGTGGATGAGGTGCTGTCCCCACGTCTCTCGGCGCCGTGTGGAATGGTTGTGAGCTTCCCCCCTGGCACACAAAAGCTGGGTTCGGCTGCCCACCGAAACGACGCAATGCACCTGTCCACATTTTAACTCTGCGGCACTTTCAAGTATCTGCAGCAATCTGACATTCCAAACTGTTAAACACTTCACTACAAACCAAGATGAACACAATATCAAGGAAAAAGATACATATTAATTTTAGGTCCTCCCTTTAGGAAACATATGTCCCTTTTCTTGGAGAGAATCAGAAGACTTTCTGAGAAAAGTGAGTTGGCAGATGATTTTTCGCTGTAGTAACGCAGTTTGCGAAGAGGGACAGCAGACGCTAGGTCGCACGGTCTGCTCAGACACTCTGTGGGTTGCACTGCACCCAACCACCGGACCCCAGGCTTCGGGGCCACGGCTGGCACTGCTTGAACGCCAACAACTTCAAGTCAGGTGCTGCTAAAAGCACATCAACATTTTACTTTGACGATTCAAAATTAAACAAGGATTCGAGAAGCCACATACAGCAGCTCTGCCGGGGAGGGGCACAGAGCTGCCCCCGAAGCACCACAGTTACCCAGGGAAAAACCAAGGGACCAAGACGTACGGCAATGTGGGGCTGGCTGAACCTGGTTCAGAAATAGAATCTGACAACTTGTTCTGCTCATCTGAAATTCAGGTGGTGGAAAAATGTTTAAAGACAGGCAAATGAAAAGAACAAACCAGCCGGGCGCAATGGCTCATGCCTGTAATCCCAGCACTTGCGGGGGTGAAGTGGGTGCACTGTTGGAGCCTAGGCGTTTGAGGCTACGTAGTGAGACCTCGTCTCCACACACGAGAAAACAACAATAATTAGCCAGCTGTGGTGACACACGCTTGTAGCCCGAGCAACTCTGAAGGCTGAGGCAGGAGGACTGCTTGGGCCCAGAGGACAGAAGCCGCAGTGAGCCGAGATCGCACCACTGCAGTCCAGCCTGGGTGAGAGCGAGACCCTGTCTCAAAATGCAAAGAACCATAAAAATGGTGCACAGAGTGGGACCATCACTGAACACATATTCATAAAGGGACGGGCAGAATCACCAGCAGGTGAGAAGTCCTACTCCTCCTCCTCCAGCCCTATTCAGCTCTCCAGGCTTTCCACATGCAGGAGCCAGCTAAGCGGGAAAGACATCTGGGACGCCACTAGCTACAGTGGGGACGGAGGGTGGCAGTCCGTGGGCTCTAGCTGCTCACAGGTTCACAGCCTCTGGCCGTCTCCAGTGCCGAGGCTGCTGCGGGGAGACCCCGGGGTCTGCCGCTCCGCTGCAGCCCTGGCTAGGATGGCTGGAGGGCAGGTGGTGCACAATGAATAGACCAGAGCTAGGCAGGTCTGAGCTTCGTGGGTAACCAAGACCCCAAATGACCCCCACAGGACGGCGGCCAATGCCCTTCTGTTGTTGGCATCATCCAATGCCTGCGGTGCACTCACATCCCAAAAAGCCACCTGTGACGCACAGGGCACGAGGTCATAAAACAAGCACATTCCTGCACAGGGGGTTTCCCTGCAGGTGTGACAATGAAAGACTAAGCTTCTGCCTGTCACCTCGAGGGTTCACACATGCAGAGACCTGGCCATCCCTGGGCAACTGAGGCATCAGCCTCAGCACAACCACAGCACCTTCGCTCGTTCCTGCTCCCAGCCCCTTGCCAAGTGGGTGATGGGCACAAGACAGGACCCTGCACTGCGCCAGAGTCGGCAGAAACCCACCCTCGGGGAACACCTCTCTCGCCACAGCCAGTGGTGAGGCAGCTGGCCTGTGCCTGTCCTGAATCGGAAACCCCAGACTCTGGAAACCAAATGGAAAACTGCAGCCTGGGCAGCCTAGAGCCTATCTCAGGTTCACCCTCCGTCCTCCCTTGTGGGGAGGTCCCCGCAGCCCTGGTCACAGAGAGAAGCAACTGACACAAAGCTGAGCCCTCACACTGCTCAGAGGACAGCCTCTGCAGGGCAGCCTGCCTCCATGTTAGACACACTCTCATGGAGCTCTGGGGGGCCAGGAAACGTCTCCGTTGATGACAAAGCCTAGGCAGAACAGGGTTGGCATGAAGCCCCCTTGGAGCTGGCTGCACTCTGTGGCAGGGTGGGACTTACATGCTGCCATCTGTGAGAAACAGGGTGTCCGGGACGGGACTTAAACACTGCTGTCCTCCAGGGACTGGGTATCGGGTCGGTACTTACACGCTGCTGTCCGTGAGGGACAGGGTGTCTGCATCACTGGACAGGCTCTGCTGCTCGCTGTCGTTGGCACTGGTGGCCGGGGCCAGGGCATAGCCGGCATTGACATAATAGGGGTTGACTGGCTCCCGCCAGGATCCATACCTGCGAATAAGCAGGGCACGTTAGTGACAGCCTGCCAACGACCTCTCATTTTAATCCACATTTTCATATTATCTGAGTATCTTAACGTATGAATTAAATACACAAGCAATGAGGAGAAGAACATGGAGCAGAGAAGGCCAGCATCTCCGCCTGTCCTCCCGTCTTTTCCAGCGGGGTGGACGAAAGCGCTAGGCAGATCTCTCCTTGGATTTTCAATGGATGCTTTAGTGCACACAGAGAGCATCCACACATCACCATTTGGGCTTGTTTTCCGTGCACAGTACTAGAAATGGGACGCATGGGGAGAAATGCCAGATAGAGGTGATGGGGAAGAAGGCAGCAAACCACACTGCCACGTGTGTACCTATGCAACAATCTTGCATGTTCTTCACATGTACCCCAAACCTAAATTGCAATAAAATAAAAAATAAAAAAATAAAAATAAATAAATCACAAAATAAAAAAAAAAAAACTTACTTCTTTAAAAAAAAAAAAAAAAAAAAAGAAAGAAATGGGACGCAGATGTTCTGCTCCTTCCAAAGTGCATGCTGGGAGCAGACACTGGGTTCTGAGTCAGGGCGAGGCCCTTAGGCTTCAGCTCAGACGTCCCTGCACCTGTGCCCGAGGCCAAGAACGGCCGTGGGACTGTTGTCCACGGGTCCGTATGTGAACGTACATGTGTGTGTGTGTGCGCGTGCCACCTCCTGTCCCCCTAGCAAGGGGAGCTCCTGGAGAGATTCGCCTCCACTTGTTACTACCAAATTAGCCGGAAATGACGCCTTGTTTCAATCCGCATTTCCCTGATTAATGGTCAGATTGGCAGATTAGGGTATTTGTCACATTTCTTCCTCTCTATCTGTTCATACAGTTTGCCATGGAGTGGATTATGAGTTTCTTAGTGATTTATAGAACTCTTTAAATAGTCATGCTATTATCGCTGGTTATTTTTAAATTTTTTTTTCTTGAGACAGTTTGTTCTGTCGCCCAGGCAGGAGTGCAATGGTGGGATCTTGGCTCACCACAACCTCCGCCTCCCAGGTTCAAGTGATTCTCCTGCCTCAGCCAACAAGTAGCTGGGATTACAGGCATCCTCCAGCACGCTTGGCTCATTTTTGTATTTTTAGTAGAGACGGGGTTTCTCCATGTTGGTCAGGCCAGTCTTGAACTCCTGACCTCAGGTGATCCACCCGCCTTGGCCTCCCAAAGTGCTGGGATTACAGGAATGAGCCACTGCACCCGGCCTAATCTCTGGTTATATATATAAAAAACATTACCTCCCTAAATGTCATTTTTCTTTTTAACATTGCTCATGTTCATTTTTGTAAAAGTTTTTCATTTCTATGAAATCAGATATTCCAATCTTTTCCTCTATTTTTTTTGTATTTTGCAAACACAGGCCTTCCTTATTCCAAGGTTACAAATATATTCTATTTTCCTTTATATGCTCCGAATATTTTTAGATCTTTACCTGAAATATGTGTATACAAAATCTAGCTCAGTCCAACGGGGTCTAAAGGTAAAAAATAAATAAAATCTAGCTCACCCCTTTACATCAAAATGGAGAGCCAGCTGTTGGCATTAAATACTGAATAATCCATCTTGTCCTCAATAATTTTAAGCTCCTCTCTCCATCAACTCTAACTCCTGTCACAGGCATGTGCCCGTGCCAGGTGCTCTGCCATGCTGCCAACCAACTGGCGTGTAGACCCTGCAGGCCCCTAACTGCTAACCCCCGCAGCGTGCCCTGAGCATGCCTCTCCCTCCTAGCAGCTGCCCCCTCCTCGGCTTTGCTTTTCCTGGTTTCAGTTACTTGCATTCAACCAAGATCTGAAACTAGGTGAGCACAGTGCAGTACGATTTGAGAGAAAGAGACCCCTTCACAGGATGTTTATCACAGCGCACCATTACAGTTCTTCCGTTTGGGTCCCAATTGTCCTTAGTTCCCACTGTGTCTAACTTATAAGTTGAACTTGATCAGAGGTGTGTTCCCAGAGAGGAAAACAGCATAAACAGGGTTCAGCACTATCAGAGGTTCAAGCATCCACTGGGGTCTTCGAATGTGTCCCCTGAGGGGGTACGACTACATCAGTTGGATCTCCACAGGTCATCACGACACAAGACAGCTCCCAGAGGCTACAATGGGCCACCCTGCCCGCGCACGTGGCCAGAGGAACTGCCATGTCCAGGGCGCAAGCACACCTGCATCAGTGACTGGGCACCTGCGCATCAGAGTCCTCGGTGTGGAGGGCAGGGACCAGAGCAGCTTCCACCTGTCCACCTGATGGGCAGAACCTAGGGAAAGCCTCAGTTCTTTTTTTTTTTTTTTTTTAAAGATGGGGTTTCACCATGACGGTCAGGCTGGTCTTGAACTCCTGACCTCGGGTGATCCACCCACCTCAGCCTCCCAAAGTGCTAGGATTACAGGCAAGGGCCACCTCGCCCAGCCTTCCTTTTTTTTTTTTTTTTTTTAAAGACAGAGTCTCACTCTGTCACCCAGGCTGGAGTGCAGTGGCACAATCTCAGCTCACTGCAAACTCCACCTCCTGCATTCAAGCAGCTCTCCTGCCTCAGCCTCCTGAGCTGGGATTACAGGCACGTGCCACCACACCCAGCTATTGTTTGTATTTTTAGTAGAGACAGAGTTTCACCATCTTGGCCAGGATGGTCTCGATTTCCTGACCTCATGATCCACCCACCTCAGCCTCCCAAAGTACTGGGATTACAGGCATGAGCCACCTCACCCAACTGGGAAAGCCCAATTCTACTCACGCCAGGAAAGGCCCTTTGATAAGATGGGGAGGTGGTGCAGCCCGGCACCTTGAGCTCTGGTAACATGGGGTGCCTGGGGTGGTGACCTGGCACTGCCAGCTGGGGACAGCCTGCAGCGCTGACGGCTGGAGCCTCGCCACACAGGGCCATTTCCCCTGGGGCTGCAGCCTCTGTGCACTCCAGAGGGCCCAGCAGGAGGCCACAGCAAGAGGCCACAACATGCAAGCAGGGCCTTTCGGACGGACAGTGTGGGTTACCATGCTCTGCATCGAGGCCACCATGCAGCTCAGCTGTTTGGGGGGCAGGCGCCAGGGTCCTGAGCCACAGTGGAAAACACAGTTCGTCAGATCAGGGCCCTGTCAGCACCATCATCCACCAGTCCCTCTCACCCACCCACTGTGGCCTGGTGGCTCCCGGCACTTCATGGACAGACATGGCCAGGTGATGGCAGCCTCAGGCTGACAGCAACCACAGGGCCACTCTTGGGAAACGGGCTCTCTGGAAACACTGACCACCTGCGGCTAGGCCACAAGGTTGGTTCTCCCCTCTCTGTACCTGACAGAGAGCAGATAAAAGGAAACCAGCTTGCAGCTTCACACTATTTGTTTTAAGCATCACACAGTATTTTAAAATGACACGGTTATTCCTTTGATACTTAAAGCCACAGCTGCTCAGCAACTACCAATATTGTCATTCTAACAACCACTGCAGCCACACTCAGATCTCAGGTTAAGTACTAAACTAACTTTAAGTTTCCCTGTCACTATTAAAGAACACTGAACTTTGGTTACTTTCTAGAAACACCCATTTGGCCAAATGGAAACATTTCTAACTGAAGGGAGAAGGCCACTGCTGCACAGACGTCTAGGCCCACAGCACACGGGCAGGTCTGTCTCACACCCTGGAGCCATGTGGCCTGCCCTCATGCTGCCAACGCGGCTCACACCTGTCCCATCACTTGGGAGCCACATGCAGCAGAACCAAGCCTTCCATGTTCACGTGTCCAATTCCATATGCCTCTCCCACTCTGACTTCCCAGGCGTGCCTTTCACATTTATGAAAACGCTGTTTGTCTTTAAAATGAGAAGTGGGAGAAACTCAGGTTTCCAGTTTTCCACAGACTCCAGCATACGGCAAGTTCCACTGCACACAAGCTCCACGGTCAGGCGACAAAGCGGGGAGAGGCGGGAGAAAGCAGCTGGGAGGAAAGAAAAGGAAGAAAGGCAGCCAGTTAACTATCTTCTCAAAAATCGCAGACAACAGCCCTGGCTTCTGGGATCTGCCCCTCAGTGGTCAGATGGCTCTTGTACCTGAAGACATGGGCGGCTGGGCTTGGCCTTCACTACCAGTTGATGCAACTGAGAACGTTCTGGTCAGACACGTACAAGGGGAGGTCACGTGGGAGCTCCAGGATCCCCACAAACAGCGCTGGGATACAGCGGCGAGGGGGCATGTTCTTGCGTGCCTTTGTGTGCGCCCATGGACATGTGCTTTGTGTGTGCATGCCTGGTGGCCGCCTGTGTGACTGTGCAGGCGTGCCTCTGCATCCATCTGCGTGTGCACCCGTGTGTCTGTGTGCATGCCCACGTGTACACTTACGTATACCTATGTGTGTTTCCCCTCACGAGCACCTCCACTTGCTCCTGCACTTCTCAGACACGTGGAGATGCGGCGGGAGGATCTGTCGCCTGGCTGTGCAGTGAGAATGCAGCCTGGAACCTTGGTAGGAGGTGTGCCCAGCCCCCCGACGCTGACGGCCCGAAACAGGAACATGTGCACAGCTCTTCTGGAACAGGCGCGGGGACTCGGGCAGAGTCCAGGGACACAGAGGCCAGGAGACCCTGCAGAGCAGGTGGTGGCAGGATCCCTGCAATTCTTCTCTGTGTTCAAAAGCTTTCTTTAGGGTCTGGTGTGGTGGCACACACCTGGAATCTCAGCGATTTGGGAGGGTGAGGCAGGATACTCGCTTGAGCCTAGGCGTCCGAGCCACGATCATGCCACTGTGCTCCAGCCTGTGCTCCAGACCCTGTCTCAAACAAAAATGTTGCGGAGAGGAGGCATGAGAAGATACGAAGACTTAGGGAAAAACGTGCCAATCACAGAAGAGAAAGTCCAGCGATGCAGTGAGGGGAGGCTGAAGGCAGAATCAATGCCCAGGAACTGCGTCATCAAAACACCTAGAGGGGTTTGACAGCACAGCACAGGGGGTCCTATTAGCTTCAAGGCAACGG